ATATATATATATCGTCACAAACAGAACTGCCCGGTAAACCGTAGGCAGAGAGAGAGAAGAGGAAAACATATATATATATCGTCAAATAGAATATATATATATTGTCACAAACAGAACTGCCCGGTAAACCGTAGGCAGAGAGAGAGAAGAGGACAACAAACGAGGGGCTGTGACAAACTGTATATATATATACATATAGAGAGAGAGAGAGAGGGGGGCATCATTTAAAGAGGGGCAACAAGCTTTCACGTACTCGGTTGTGAAAGATTTTGCACCACCAGAGAGATAGAAAAAGGGGCAGAGAGAGAGAGAGAGGGAGAGCCAGAGACCGAGAAACAGACAGAGAGAAAGGGAGAGAAATGGACACAGAGATTGATCTTGGGAAATGGGGAGAGGGAGAAAAGAGCGTCCACCACCAGAGAGATAGAAAAAGGGGAAGTGAGAGAGAGAGGGAGAGCCAGAGACCGAGAAACAGACAGAGAGAAAGGGAGAGAAATGGCCACAGAGATTGATCTCGGGAAATGGGGAGAGGGAGAAAAGAGTGTCTTTTTTCTTTCTGACAACAGCTTACCTGCATTTGCTCATCGTCATCCCCTTCAGGTCCTCTAGCTCTTTGTCTATCACTTCCAACTGCGGAGTTGAACCCAAAAATATTTCCATACAAAGTTCAGTACCACATCCAATTCCCCAAAGATGAAGAAATGAAAGACTCAAAAGCCTGCTGGTTTTGGCCCACTCCCTTAAAGCACCAGTACACCCGCGGGTGTCAGCACGAAACCGGCACCACTTCGGAGGCCGTCGGTTTTTTTTCTCAACGGCGCCCCACGCCGCGCGGCCCCTCCGAGTTTTGCTTGTGGCGACAAAAACTTTCTGCAAGGCTGGGCCGTGTACTTGCGGTTTAAACCAAAAAATATGACACCCATTGAGATCAGGAGGTCAATAAGTCTGTAATTCGGAGATTAAGGAGCAAAACAAGGTTGTCAGTCTACAATGCATGGTTATCACGTGATTGCAAACCGTCAAGAGCCGATTAATGGACATTAACCATGGAGTACACAAGTGGAAAGCAAGTGAAGCAAAGGTAATTCGATGGTTGCTATATCATCATGAGTGCCTAGCTGGAGCTCTCAACTATATCAGAGGGAATTTGTGCACCTTACGTGGTATTTTTGCCTCGTCCAAGTGGTGTGCGAACACCGATGCACCCCCAATGGTTCATCTGATTTTTCCACTTTGCTATGACAGTTCAGGTAATTGTTGAGTTCAACGTTGCATTAGACACATAGGAAAAGGAAAATCTCTTCGCCATATGAAGCAATCGATGCTGTCCGGATGGGTCTGTACATTTCAGACTTGCTGGGGGGAAAGGAACCGGACTGATAATGGAGCCAGGACCATGAGGACCTGTTTTAACCGGGGAAAAAAAAGGAAAAAGAAAATCCAACAAGTGTGGGATGTTGGACACATGGAACCTGCACAACGCAACAAATTACGTAACATCGTCTCAATTGCATGCCCGTTCACTCTTGGCGTTCACAAAGGAAGACATCAGCGACAGGAAAACAAGAACAGAAGGCATCAACTGTTGTACACCTTTTAAAACACTTGACAGCAAAAGTACAACAAACAACCAACATTGGATTGATAACCTTCCCACTGTCCTGTGAAACCACAGCCAAGCAAATGGCCTTAAAAGAATCGACGGGGAAAGACGTCCCTGCTGAGCATTTGACTCTCTCTCTCTCTCTCTCTCTCTCTCTCTCTCTCTCTCTCTCTCTCTCTCTCTCTCTCTCTGCTGAGCATTTGACTCTGTAAACTCTCTCTCTCTCTCTCTCTCACACACACACACACACACACACACACACACACACACACACACACAGAGCGCGTAAAACAGAATTATCGTACCCCCATGCTTTCGCACCTCAGCATCAGTTGACACCCAGAAAGCTGCCTTCGCTTTTGGTGTTCCTTTTAATATCTATGAATTTTATCTCTACACTAGAAATTCCACTTTCCTCTATCTTAATCCAGTGAACCAGTTTTGAAGGCATTCCACCAGTTATGTATTGTGTTGAATAAGAGTGCACATACCAGGGCTCAAAGAGCAGGGACCAGGCCACAAAGTGGCAACAGCACCTGAAGCGCAATCTGCGTTCTCGTCCAACCTGACAGTTGGAATCCCATTTCGGGATGAGAGCATTCGGTGGAACCGGTGAACCATTGAGGTCAAATGGGACAGAGGGTTCTCAGTACCTAACTAAGTGAATCAGCAGACGGGATGCGACTTTCGGCCCGTTGATTCCCATCTGTATTCTTTGCCGTGGCTTTGTAAGCAATGTATCCAATCATCACAATGCTTTCGTAGAGAACATTGGGATTTGGGTGCCTTGCATTAGAGGCATACACTTATGAACAGTGAAGAAATGAACTAGACGAAGCAGAGAACAGAACACAGGTGGAGAGCACACAGACAGAGTGAGGGAAGAAGAGCTTGTTACAAGATTGAAGGAAAGCAATAGCTGATCCTGTTTCTGAGTGCTCTCTAAACCACAAGACGTCATCCGCAAAAAACCCATGCAAAGGAGATGTCAGGAGACTGACAAAGGCCGTCCTACCTCTCGGCCTACATTATCAGCAAGCTTATCAGCTTCGGCTTCTTCAACTGCATTCTTTGCTGTCATTTCCCGCACCTTGTCCAATGCCTCCTCATCTCGCCTCCGGTTGGCCTATGCACATAAGATTTCACACTTCCTTTTTGTCACAGAGGTGCCATAGTGAAGACAGAGGGGTTCAGACATTGCCACTTGAAATGTGCCCCAGCAACAACTCACCAGAACAGGCTGTGAAAGACGAGAGGTTAGGGTTTCTGCATTCATGGATGAAGAACAGGACGAGCATGTGAAGAGCAGCCTGCGTAATAGGAACACTCACGCGCCCCGACTTTCGGGGCTCGACCTCCGAAGCAAAATGGCTGGCAGCGCCAGCCAAAAGGAGGGCGCACCAGTTGGCGCGTGCCTCGGACGTACTGGTGGTTTAAGCCATAAGACACTTGAATGTTTCAAAAGTGAGGTATTTTAGGAAAGAGGTATTTTCGGAAGGAGGTATTTTCGGAAGGAGCTTGAGCTTTGGTGGGAAGAGCAAAAAATCGGCATAGATGTACGTCAGACGGGGCATGAATGGCATGGCAACTTCAGAGGCGATCGGAGCTCTGCTGACCCTTTTTATCAGTATTGCTACTATTGCGTAATAGTAGTTAAAACCATAGTTGTGGCGAACCAGTGCCCTGTGCGCTGGAATGACAGCGAGCGCGCACTGTGCACTCGCTGAGAGAGGTGCGCCCTGTGCGCCGAAAGAAAACGAAAACAAAAAAAAAGTGTTCCCCAGAGAGAGAGAGAGAGAGAGAGAGAGAGAGAGAGAGACCAAAGGATCCCCTTCACGTCAATTCAAGAGCCCCTGCAGGTACCTCAAATGGCTCCTACAATATATGTGGAGTCATTGAGGACCAGTGCTTCAATGAGACGGATGGCCACATGGAACAAGTGGGAACAGACCACCAATATATGCTGTGGGTTCGAGTTCAGGGCTATAGCCCGGCAGTTATGGGTCACCAATTCAGCTAAGACCCTATTCGTGTCTCCACGTGATTCTCAGGGCTTCCCTCCACCACTCACCAAATGTATATAACATTAGTAGAATGAATCTTCTGCTAAAGCATGGAACCATACACCGCCATATGCTATGTCGTTCGTGCATGTGGTGAGTAGTGGAGCAGGCCCCACTGTACATATTCATAAGAAAACAAAAACAAAACAACGAGAGAGCTACAGGCATCTTCATCCTAAGTTCCTAACCCATAACTGCCAACATGCAGACCTGAATGCCAATCTTCAGCATATATTGGTGGTCGGCTGGCCATGCAAAACACGTCTTGTGACTTCTGTGATGCTTTGTGGAGCAGGTCGCTATTGGGCAACTACCCCCTTCTTGCAGTTTTTCCCACCACTGTGTGGGATTTGCAGAAGGGAGTGGAAGACCAGTTTCCACACCCCACCTAAAATAAAAGTTCGATGAGCCCTATTTTCACGACACACCATTTTGATACTTTTGGGGGAATGGCTTATGGAAATCGAAATTCAGCAGCCCTTGCCCCAAAAAAAAATTTGGGGCGGGGGCGCAGCCGGTTTCTGAACTTGTGCGGTGAGTTGAACATTTTTGCCGAGATGGGGGCCCTGACAAATTACAAACCCCCTACTTTTTTACTTTTTTTTGGACCTAATTTTTTCAGAGCAGTGTGCGCGGTGCGCAACGCGTGCACAAACCCGCACACCGAGGTGCACAGCAACTCTGGTTAAAATCATAGTTGCGGCGCACCTCGGTGCGCGGATTTGCGCACGCATTGGCACCACTCGCAGTGCACCGCACAGCTCACGGAAGCACACCGCACTGAAAAAAATAGGTCTAAAAAATAAAAATAAAAAAAGTAGGGGTTTTGTCATTCCCTAGGGCCCCCAACTCGGCAAAAATGTTAAACTCACCGCCCGAGCTCGGAAACTGGCTGCGCCCCAGGCCCGCATGTGTTTTTTGGGCAAGGGCTGCCGAATTTCGATTTCCGCAGGCCCTACCCCAAGACATTTCAAATGGCGAAGCATAACATAGGGCTCATTCCAACTTTTTTTTTTGGCGGGGTATGGAAACTGGCCTTCCCCCGCCCTTCTGCAAATCCCACGCAGTGGTGGGGTAAGTTCGCAAGAAGGGGGTAGTCGCCTAATAACGACCTGCCCCGTGAAGCTTCGCACAAGTCCGAAGTTGCATTTTCCACGTCGAGCCGAGTCAGCCGACCACCAATATATGCTGAAGATTGGCATTCAGGTCTGCATGTCCGCAGTTATGGGTTAGGATGAATATGCCCGTAGCTCTCTCTTTTTCTTGTTTTTGTTTTCTTACGAATACACGTACAGTGGGCCCTGCTCCACTACTCACCACATGCACAAAAGAAATAGCATATGGCGGTGTATGGTCCGATGTTTTAGCAGAAGATTCATTCTACTAATGTTATATTATATACTTTTGGTGGGTGGTGGAGGGAGGATGAAGATGCCCGTAGCTCTCTTGTTTTTTTGTTTTTGTTTTCTTACGAATACATACAGTGGGCCCTGCTCCACTACTCACCACATGCACGAAAGACATAGCATATGGCAGTGTATGGTTCCATGTTTTAGCAGAAGATTCATTCTACATTTGGTGAGTGGTGGAGGGAGGCCCTCAGAATCACATGGAGACACGAACAGGCTCTAGCTGAATTGGTGACCCATAACTGCCGAGCTACATCCCTGAACTCGAATCCAAAGCATATATTGGTGGTCTGCCCCACCTCTTCCACAGATGACGAGGCCATCCTTCTAAGTGAAGCAGTGGCCCTCAATGAATCCACATGAATCACAGGAGTCATCCGAGGTACTTGCAGGGGCCCTCGAATTGACGTGAAGGGAAACCTTTGTTCTCTCTCTCTCTCTCTCTCTCTCTCTCTCTCTCTCTCTCTCTCTCTCGGGGGCCTGTTTTTTTTTGTGTGTGTGTGTTATTACGCACAGGGCGCACCTCCCTCAGTGTGCGCACCATGCACAGCGGCCCGCACGGCGCACAGTGCGTGCGCTGTCATTCCAGCGCACAGCACAGTGCACCCCGCCCCGCCCCGCCCTGCCCCGCCCCGGTGCGCCGCAACTATGGTTAAAACTTGTCACAAAAGAAATAAAGATCGAAAGACAGAAGAAATAAAGATGGTGTGCCACACAGCTTGTGCACTCGCCTTTCTACAACACCCACCAAAACACAGTCCAAGTTCGGGCAAGCCCTCCGGTGCCTCAGCGTGTCAGGTGTTTGAAGACCCATGTAAAGTGACCCTGCTGTCCCCTTCGAAAGAATGCGGATGCAGAGCCAGCACATAGATGCTGCAACCAGCATGCAGAGGTCCGATAACTAACATAATGCTCCTCATCAATTTGGTAGATTATATACATGACATTGCAGGGTATACGGACACTGAGAAGCAAGTTTTCAAAAAATAGAGAGGGTTGTGACAAAAAAAAGAAGCAAAACATACAGAGCTACACTGGTAACCAGACTGCGGTCAATCAACAACTTATGGCACCCATTGCAACAAAAGTGCCCATAGCGTCATAAACTAATCATACAACCCCGAGCATTATACAAACAGCCAGTCAAGGTTTACTCTAGCGTTCAGTTAGGTCAGCTTCCTGCCTATTGCTGCCAGGAACTTGGAGAGCAAACCTGACAAATTTGAAAACGTGCAAGGACATATGGTGGGAGAGACTCGGAGACATACCTCCTCATTGAGCTTTGGCTCCAATGAAGTTCTCCACTTTTCTTCGAATTTCTCAGAAAGGGTTCTCGCCATAACGTACACGTCCGTGCCCTCTTGATTGTACGTCATTGCATTTGAGAAAACAAGCCGTATATCATCACATATCTGTTGAGGGTGTTCGTACCTGGTTGTAACTAACAGATTTTCCATGCAAACCAGACCATGTTAGGGACTCCACCGGACACTAGCTTTTTCCCGCGGCCACAACGCCTGGTCACGGAATCCATATCTTGCCCAAAGTTGCACTCAATATACAGCTATAATGACAGGATGTTGCATTTCAGGTGGAAGAACGATGTCGCCTTGCCACAACGCCTGATAAACACATGAATTTCCTACGTATGAACTTCCTTAGTTCCTACCAGTGTTGCCAAAGGAAAACAGACCCCCACACAAGGCACATGGGATCAACAAATGGGACAGAAGCAGAGCCTGACAAGCGCCAAACCTCAGCTTCTGCACAGCCTTTGTCCGTATAGCAGGTGATTCCTATCACGACAACATAGTCCGTGAGACAAAGTTCGCATCCGTATTCAGACGCAGGACGGGCAGTCTTACCCAAGAAAGCATAATGAGAAATGGAGGCAATTAGTGTTACAACACACAAATAACACATGGCAATATTTGAACCCTCAATTGAATTGACTTGGCAAACCACACATCTCAAAAACAGATGCAACTCTTATCTGTGTCCGTAAACACACACTGCATGGCAGTCCTCAAAACCTTGAATTTAGCTGGCCACTGCAACCAGACTGCATAATATTCTTCAACACCTGAAACCTTTGCAGAATGCACAATCATATGGTTCCTTCATAACACAAACTTTACGAAGTCGACAGATTAACACAAGATGGGCCACCATGCAATGACTGGGAAAAGGAGGTGTGCTATGAAAAACAGAAGAGACGACAAAGTTGAAGGTGATGTCTGAGGGCAGTGTTGGATGGTGTGACGGAGTTATTTGACATGCATTCCAGCAGAATGCGCAAGGGGAACCAAGAGAAATATAAACCATCATTGCACGAGAGGAAGAAACTGGAAAGACGAATTTTCGGAGGGGCTGACATAGTTATCGCATTTGGAAACCATGCTGTAACATCGATAGACCATGACGAGGACCAATGGTTTGCGACGAAATTGACGATGGACCTATGAGAGAGAGAGAGAGAGAAAGACAGACGGACACAAAGAAAGAGAGAGAGAGAGGGAGAGAGAGCAAGAGTGACAGAGAGCAAGAGACAAGGTCATGCACGCGCCCACCAGGAAAGGGGAAGGTAGGGGGGGAGGGGGTGCGGGGGAAGAAGAGAAACAAAGAGAAGAGGTAAGGGTGGGAGAGAGAGAGAGAGTGAGTGGGAGGGAGAGACACGTTGATAAAGAAAGACACGTTGAGAAAGAGAGACAAAGATACACAGTTCCTCTGTGTGTATGTAACACAGAGAGAGAGAGAGAGAGAGAGAGAGAGAGAGAGAGAGAGAGAGAGAGAGAGAGAGAGAGAGAG